TTTTTTTTTTTTTTTTTTTTTTTTTTTTTTTTGAATTTAGGGTCACATTTGTCCGGTGATTCTCCCGCTGTGATTACTGTCTCTCGTGGGCATAATTTTACTGGGTACATTGTCACGAATCGCCCCGTCGTTGCTGATTTCCTTTCTGGAGTGATTAAATATGAGTTGTCACCAGAAGAACGAATTTCTTTTTACCCTGTATGTGTTATCTTTCCACTTTGTCTCATTTAGCCGCCGTAGATGGTTCTCCAGTTGCTTTAAGTTATTCGCAGATGATTTGTCGTAAGTTGCAGATTTCTGCATATGGAAGAGCAATCTCCAGTTGTGTTTTCCAGTTCAAGTTTACTCCAGAAAAGTGTCACATCGTCCTTTCATCGAAAAAAGACGGAGCAACTCATTCTATAGATTTATCTGCTCAGGAAACTTATGTTTCTGATGGTTTTGGAAAAATTTTACGCGATGGTTTAAAACAAAAGTTAAGCCTCTTGCGACGAAAAATGATTGAATCTGTTGCAGAAAAATGTAAATGCTTAATAGACGAAAATGCAAAAGGGAACAACCCTACCAACAGCTTGGATAGGGTAAGATTTGAATCTGTATTCCACTTTAAAATGCCTTCTGAAGTATTTGCTGTTCAACCGTCGTATTTCGGACATGGCCTAAGAGTGTCCAGTTAAGAGGTGTAATTTCACTGAAATCTTTTGGGATTCTGTAAATTGCGTCTCAATTAAAATAATCGTTCAACACCTAATCAGTTTTAGTGGCCACTTTTGATTTATACGATGTGTTTGGTGACTTTGGACGCTGAACGCCATCACGACTTAATCATGTTAAACTTTGAGAAGTTAAGGAAGAAATGCGATCCTAAAAGGAGCGGTATGTACACAGATATGGCAGCACATATTCAAACATATCATAAACTAAACAGGCCTTTGAAAACGGGCAATTCACTGCTTGAAAGCCTTATTGCTGGAAACTGTGAAGAGATCACCTTAAGCTTGCCTAGTCTTGAACTTCGCAGGTACAATTTAAGTCCCTTCTTTAATTTTAAGTTTGAGAAAGACATCCGACAGGTTGCACTACTAATTTTATTTTAGCGTGAACCACTTAGTAACTCTAGCTGGGCTTATAACTTCTTTGGATTTAAGTAATAATATGATCTTCGATTTACGGTTCCTCGCCATCTTTCCACGACTGACTCATTTAACGCTAGATGACAACCCAATCTCAAAGTCAGTTGATTTTTTCAACAATACTGCCGTACTTCTTCTGCTATAGATAACTAGCTTATTTAAGTAGGAGACAAAGTAGTAAGTAGAAGACTCACTAAGGTCATTGTTTGGGACTTTGTGCCGTTAGTTTCGCTTGGGTTCTTCCTCTTATATTCTGCAAATATCGTTGTTTATTTCAGCCTTCGCAGTCTTCAAATGCTACAGAACTTGGAGTTCCTCTCGTTAGCGAAAAGTCTTCTTCAATGTTTTGCGGATGTTGCCGAGGTGTTGAATCATACAACTTTGACTCGTTTTGTTTTTTGCGAAACTCCTCTCGCCGATGACGAGGACGAATGTCGAGTACTGTACCAAAGTTGTAAAGACTCAGACAGGAGCTTAAGACTGATAAGATACTGGCTCTAATAAAACTTGTGGTTTAAAACTGTTAAGCAATATTTAGGGTTCTAGGTATTATTATTTACTGGCCCCATAGAAATGCTCTAGCCACTGTAATAATTTTTTGAAATTACAAATTTCTCCTCTGTTAAAGCTTCCCACCATACTGCTTTAGCTTGACAGAGGGGCGTAAAAACAATTAAGCGACTCTCAATTCCTTTCCTGCTTTCCCTCTCTACGGAACTTTACTGCAGCTGAGCACTTGAAAACTAATCAGCTGATTAACATTTACTCTGTCTTCTTTATAAATCAACAACTTGAGGGACATGTAACAAAGCGAAACAACGGGATGACTTTGAAGTCGCAGCGAATAATTAACAAGCCCTACTGGGTATTTACAGACAATATACATTATAACGATTATGAGGCATCAGAACTAAATGAGAAGGAACAGACATAAAGTAAGGAAGACCGAGGACTTAAGAGAACTTAGATGAACAGATTCGCCCAAACCATTGCTTCATTCAACTACTGTATAAAGACTGGCAGCAAAAACTATATCTCTTCTAATTGAGGCGGACGTTTCTTCCATCTTTTCATATAAAGCAGGGTCTCCAACCAGCCGTGCGGCATTGCGCACATCCCTGCACGCTTCGTCTAGCCGTTGTATGCATCGTACGATCAAACCTTCTTGAGCATCAGTAAGTTTCATTATTTCTGCGAACGGCTAAACTTAACTTCTAATATTCTTTTGCTCTCACCGATAAAGTAACGTAATATAATCCTTGATTTAAAAACCACAAAAATATCTGATATATAAAAAATTCAGCATTATACTGGTCACTGACCATCCCACTTGCCCAGTGGTAGACCACTTCCATCAAATCAAAATTCAGTTCCTCTGAAGGGTCTACTATTTGCACTCCGCAGTCTTTTTGAACTTGGGATATTTTTTTGGTTACGTCCAGTACGTCATCTTTCAGCTTAAAAATCTTTCATCACGGTAAATCTTGAGGTGTAAACTAAAAGGCCAGACAAACACTTACTATCTAAGTATGAAACTGCTGTTAAAAAAATTAAGTTAACAGTTTAAGAAGCCTACATTGTCTAGAATAGGGATATGCTTCTGATCTTCTTTTGCTGAATTTGTGGCTTTATACTGGCACGTTGTTGAAGAAAGCATAGCAGCGATTTCTGCCACAGAACGGGATTGAATCTTATTATCTAGCAGCAGCTCTGTTATTAGTAACTCCTTAAAAATTCAATGGCAATCGTGAGTAAATATATGGAACAGTTAAATAAATGCTGTTAGTTGCTTCCCAGAATATTTTGGAAAGATAGATATACTAAAACTGCTGCGACATAATCAACTGTATTGAAATCTTAGCATGAATAACAAACCTGATGATGGATTTCGCATGCAACTTTTCCTTTTAGTGTTACAAGATTTGTATTGTCGATGTAGCCTAACGAGTGCAAAACCTACGGATAAAACCGTTAAAATGTCACCAAAAATATAGCAGCTATAATTAATGACAATATGCACAAGCTGAAACAGTAAATTATATCGGGGTTAACAAGCTGATGAATACTTATCTAATAACCTTTATGTGCCCTGCGTATTCCGAAGACAATAGTAGACTTCCAGTCGAAAGGCTGAAAGAAAGATCGTCGTATTTCTCCCTCATCTGCACAAGCTCTCGGATTGCTTTGAACTGAAAAATCAATAGAAAATAGCCTTGCGAACATCACTAAAACGCACGGAAGTCCGCTCCAAACTCCTACAATAACAAAGTGGGTAAAGTTTACATGTTGTTTAAAAGATAAGCAGTGTCTGCAAGGAAATGCTCCTTCTACTATGAGGAAGTTCCGTAATTCATTTAAACGCATGATTTTCGCAAACACTTCCGCATTAGATATTTGAATTTCTCTTCCAGGTAACGCAACGTCAGCTCCCTCAACGCTATATGCCCATTTTGATGTGAGACTATCCATTTCGATTACGACTTTGGCAACGGATGAGTCAGGAGACTGTTGCCTGAATAAGTTTTATTACTGCTTATAACAAAGGTCCAAAAAATACCTTCATCTTACTCGCTTTTTCGATTAAGAACGGTTGATGACTTAGGAGAACGACAAACCAACCGAAATCTTGGCATTGCTCGAATTCTGGAATCATTGTATACAGCCGCGACGTCAATTCTTATAGACTTCTGACAAACTGCAATCATAGAAGTGACTGGAATATTATCAATGACACGATATGTGCTTTTCTTGCCACCTTTCCTTGGCAAAGCTAGCCGTTCAAAGCCAGTGAACGCAGCCGTTTCTACTAAGGCAGTTTCTATAATCCATTCTTGCTCCTGCAATTTTCCGCAGTGTTAGTGTGAGACGCTTCTAGAAGTTTACTCAAAAACCTTCCAAAATTTTAAGCTTAATTTGATCCACAGCACAACCCTTACACGAGGCGGTAATTTAACAAATTTTTCCATCATAGTCTTTTCCTCTCTTTCTACCGACACGTCCTCCTCCGCAGTAATAAATAATTGCAAAGATCTATTGCTTCCATCACAATTCACCTGTAATTTCAACACAAATTTAAGAAGTGAAAACTATTAAGAAGTCATTGAACAGCTACCTTTAAAACAAGTGCCAACGAGGAAGGACGATTTATTTGAGGAAGTGCGATAATAATAAGTCGTCCTGGAGCAAATATCTTATCAAAACTGGAGAAACGAAACAGTTCTGCCCATAAATCGCTCCTGAACCGCACAAATTCACGAAGGCGCGCATGATATTCATTTATAGAGTAATACTCTTCACAAGTTACACAACACGTTGAACATTCAAGCGGTGGATACTCAGCAATCTTTGCTGCTAACTGCAAAAATGTACAGTAAGCCCTAAGCCTCGCTAACTTGAGAAGCGCTTATATAGAATGAAATATTTGTTTCATACCTGTTTCCGCTCACTTTGGCGAGCAATCACCTGTCTCAATGAAGCACTTTCAAGATAGGAATGTTGTAACATGTCTTCTATACGCAAGTGTTCAACTCGAAGTAAATTTAGCAACATACTGTCGGTAATACGAAAATGTGACTCAAGTTTCGTAGGCGTCCCCTAAAATTACAACTCTACCTCGTATACCCAGTGAAGTTTAAGACAATGCATAAAGTAGAGGCATCATGGACACCAGCTGGGAAGTAATGTAATTTGCGTTAGAAATTTTCAGTAACATCAAATTAAACTGAATTTTCCAGAAAGTTAGAAAATTTATTAATAGAAGGGAATGAATCAAATGTCCCTCAAAAATAAAAAAATACCAGCATCATGATTGCCAGTCCTGTTGCCTCAGGCATTTGTGGCCCTTTGCAAAGTATAATAACCGTCCCAGTTGAGTCTAATCCCCGACGTCCTGCGCGTCCTGCCATCTTCAAAGAAAGAATACAAAGTGGTAATTTGAAACAAGGATTGACCCTTTCTTATCTTTTGTTCTTTTAAAGTTGTAAAAAATCTGTTGCAGACGACGTATTAAACCGCCTAATACCTGAATGTATTCACCAGGAGACAGATTTCTAAAATTTCTACCATCATGCTTCTTCATACTATCAAATACGACTGTTCTAGCTGGCATATTAACACCCATAGCGAAAGTTTCTGTTGCAAATAAAACCTGGAACCATAAATGTACTAGTAAGTACTAGTAGTACACCTGGTGAAAGAATTTTATAAAACCAATTAAGAGATAATCCTCAAAACCTTGAAGCTTTTTGAAAACAAGGATGATAATTAGCATCTCCCACATGTTTTAGACCGGTTAAATGCTCTGTTACGAAGATCTTTTACAAAATCAATAATTTTTGAAAAGGGAAAATGTAGTCTTGATTTAAGAAAAGCCATTTACCTTTACATAACCCTTTTGAAACAGAATTTCAATTATTTCTTTTAGTATAGGTAAGATCCCACTGTGATGCACAGCAAAACCATGTTTGCACACCTCTTCCATTTGCATAACCTGTACGATAGGATTTGAAATAAGCTGTTAAGTGAATCCTGCCCCCTCACCCAAATCAATCGCTAATCTTGTTTTACAATCCTCTTACATTGAAACTTCCAAAAATAAGCCAAGGTTTAATATAGAGCAAAGAAACATCCAAAACACTTCTAAGCTATGTAAAATGATAATCCGGTCATTTCGATGTAGTGAAAAATAAAAAGGTTTTTGAATAATTATTCAAAATAAAAAAAAGCAGACCTGCGGAAGCTCTTTATCAGAACCATTTAACCGAGCAACACATCGGGCAAAAAATCTATGTATGAAAGACTTTTCCTTCGCTGTTGTCAGATCAACCGACTGTAAAAGAGACGCATATTCATCACATCTGAAAAAATGACAAGTCTATCTGGTAGTGCAGCTAAATATTCTATAAAATTATTTAATTTACAGCCTTAAAAACATTGAGACGGAAGCTGAGAAGCGTTAGCAGATAATTTGTTCTCATGAAACTCACTTTGTACGCACTTCCAAATAAATAAACGATACCTTCTTCTAGAGAATACGAAGACCACCATCGGTAAAAGATCTCTTTCAGAAAGCAACTTGATTAGATTGATATAAACGTGTTTATCCTAAATTAGCCCCGCACAACAAAAAAGTGACGAAAACCATCCTCTCCAAAATGAAATTAGATTAGTTGAAATAAAACGACGTACCGTTTTATTATTAGGGCGAAAATTTTTTCCAGCTCCTCCTGCCTTCTGCAACTTTGATTTCGTTTCACTGGCTAGGCTGTATCTGAAATCTTATCTTTGGAAAGTAATGAAAATAAAAATTCTTTATATGTTCAGTGGTAAAATGTGCTCTCAGAAAAAATACATCAGTATTGAAAGTTTAATTGTGCAAAAATGAACTATTTAAAAAAATGGTTTTTACCCCCGTGATAAAAATGTGCCTTCACCATCCACAATTTTGAACAAATCTTTCTTAGTTTTAGCGTCCTGTCCTGTATACAAGAAGTGTTCTAAAGGAACAGGCCTTCTATTCGTGGTTATAACATTTATACGCCGTTTTTTGATCCTTCTAAAATGTGGAAATGTAGAACAAGCATAACTAACATTAAAAAAATCCCTTGAATTCATTTCCATCCTGCAGTAAAACCACGAAAAAAAAACATTTGAAAAAATTTAAACATAAAAAGCATACCCAACATCTGAACTGGATCTTTTTTTCGAAACAAAAATTTGGTTCAAAGCATCTAAAATTAAAAAAGCTAAATAATCATACCCAACCCAGTCTGCAAACTCTTCGCAGTTTGGAACGGTAGCACTAAGCATAATTATTTTTACGTGAGAAGGCAGCATAATTAGAACTTCTTCCCAGACATGCCCCCTCTAAAATCTTAACAGAATATCATAACAGTATAAAAAGGTTTTAATAAAGATGATAAGTGTCGGTTAGTAAGGCTATAAAAGAAATTAAAATAAATTAGGACTCTTAATATTCCTAAAAAGAAATAAATAATCTTATGCCTTAAAATACCTCAGTATCATTGATGTAATGCACTTCGTCGAATATAACCCATTCAAGCTCACGTATTATTTCAGAACCATTATACAGCATTGATCTGAATAATTTATGATTGGCTTGTAAATTAATGAAATCTACGCAAAACGCTGTAACGAAAGTTGACTAAAACCTGTTTTTTTTTTTTGATAACTCAAATGTGATTTTGAAAAACCTACCAACAAAACAAAATATCTCTGAATGATTTACAGAAGCTAATTTGCATATAAATTATTTATTACCGCAATAAAGAATAAAATTTAGTTTTACTATTAATTTCCAAATGACCTTAACACTTCCGTAGTCATGACAAGAGCAAAAGCTTCAGGTTTTATTTGAATGTCGCCCGTAATAAGTCCTACATCTTCGAACTGCAGTTTAAAATCTCGAAACTTCTGATTTGATAGCGCTTTAATCGGAGAAGTATAAATAGCTCTGAAAGATTTTTCAAAAAAATTATTTCCTATCAACTTAAATATCGATCACAAAAAATTTTAAATACATGAATTACACTCCAAATTACTTGACCAGTCCGCGTTCCTGAAAAATTAATGAAGATACTCTTGTCTTCGCTTTTATGGGAGTGTTACGTCAACGACATTTCGAAGGAAACAACTAATAATATAAAAGGAAAAATAAAACAATATTATAAATATTCCCACAAGTAGAAAAAACTTCTAGTACATTTTATGCGATAACCTAAACGTAATTAACAGAGGATTTAACGCAGAATACCGAGTCTTATGAGTGTTACACAAAGCTATAGCATATTCCGCAACAACAGTCTTCCCTGCTGAAGTGTGAGCAGCAACAAAAACAGAATCCCCCTGCTCCATACAAACGACTGCTTGCTGTTGAAAAGGGTCGAGAGTAAACGGGTACTGAAATGTTACAAACTTTTATGTTACACCTCTGTCTGAAAATATTACTTTTCTATCAGATACTAAAGGAAAAATTGACTGAATATTATTTTTTCAAAAAAGACTTAAAAATCTATAGTTCAAAAAAGCAACACTTTTAGATCTTTACTTGACCGAAAAATGATCAATTATTAACTCCAATCACTTAGTACTGTAAGGCCATAGTAGAAGCTTTAAGCCAGAATGTAACACTGGAAACCTCAACTTCCTAAATCAATTTAAAATGCCAAAAAAACTTCTACCCCCCTAATCCAAGTTTGCAAAAATCCACCATAAGTATCGTAGGAATTGCAACTTCACAACCTATTCGGTAAAATCACTTAATCGAACTGATATTTTACACGCAAATTACAGTAATACACCTTCTCCCTCTCTGCAACTATATGAATCAATAAACTTAAGTCCAGCGTACAACCAAGTCAGAATGCAATGTCAACACTAAAAACTAATAAGTGTAAAAGCCGCATCAATTTGCAATTGCACTCACGTTCAATTAAGCTTTTACTTTCCCCAATATTTCTTCAAATGAGCATTAGTACCAGCCACGCAATGACCATTAAATGGCTATTTTCTATAACAGTTCAAGTCCCGTTTGAACCTTTGGACAGAAACAAAAAGGCAATACAAATGCAAACAACCAACTTAACTTTAATACTAAAAAAATGAGATAACAAGAACCTGTTTTGCAAGTCGATCTCGTAAATCTTCATACCCGGGAACTTGCCTTGTTGTGTCCAAAACTTGCGCATATGAATAAATACTACTCTTTTTCAAAGTGCCGTCGGGTTTAGTTTTAACATTCTGGACTACTAATTCGGACGTTACTACTGCCTGTAATCTTCAGAGACAAGTGATACACAGAGGTAATAATACTAGACAATATATGATTCCCAAGTATTGATGCCTAAACGCATCAATCGCTAAAAAATAAAGGGAGCAAATGCGACTATACGACGAGAGCTCACGTTTAGAGTCTTTTCATCATCACTGACTTTCTTTTTGAAGCTACTGCTTTCAGTTAAGACGTTAACTTCCGGGGTTTCTCTTCTTTTAGGCTCCGGGACATTCATCCCTTCGCTGACCAGGTCAATCAATTCAAACAGGCTCGCGTTTGCAATGTCAATATTACTGGTAACATTGTTTTTCGTGGATTTTTCTTCAGTAGTTTTGGCAACATCTGTCCCGCTGATGGCCTTACCAGAAAGTCCACAGCTTAAACCTGGAGCATTGAATAGCAGATCACCTGACGCCAGTTCTAAACAAAAAATTAATGAGAAAGTGTAAAATACCTAACTTAAAAGAGTTCAAATGAAAAAAAAACTAGGGTAAATAAATGAACAACAGAAATTAAACGACCCCATAATGGTTTGAAACATAGATGCTAAAGCCATGATGATAGCGCAAAAAGAAGAGTAGAAAAATGATCCAATATCTAACAAAACAAGTTTTAAAGCAGTATCCAACAAAGTAAGAGTTACAATCAAAAGACTAATCAACAAAATTATAAGAGATAAAAAGATAGGGAAACTGAACATAACCTTCAAAATTCAAAAACTTTTCCTCTTCCACATCATCAGTAGCTCCTTGAAGACTCAAAACGCTTTCGAGTTGCTCTTCCAGTCCTCCTGTAAGTTCAACAACAAAACTAACCTTTTAAAGCATGATTATAGAAAAATTTCGTCAAAAATTCAAAGAAACTACCGGGAGCAAATGGGAAGTTATTAGAAGAACCCATAAAAGACAGTGCAGCCTTAGTATCTACCGCCCTGAAAGTTTAGGACCAAGAATTACCGAGGTGAAAAATTTTAAACAACTTTTCACTAAAGAAAAAGTATCATAATTGCCAAATATGACTTTTACCTGTTCAACGACAAGGAAGTTCTCGAGTCTCCTGCTCCTTCTCCTTTTTCATCCCAAACTTCAATAAAATCTTCAAAAACACCGGTATCAGCATTAACTTTTCCTCTTATTTCGGAGTTCAAATTTGAAAAAGACAGTAAGTCCTCGAACAAACAATCAGTACTGGAATTCGGCTCAGGAACACTGGAAATGAAGTAGTATAGCTCCTTCCAGAAAAACACTTAAATAATTGAAATCTTACTCGTAAGAAGAAGCGATAGAGTAGCTTGAAACTAATTCAGTAATCACATTGATTGCTGAACCCTTAAAAACTCGCTCAGCCTCAGCTTTTATTTCTGTTTCCAACTGATTATCAGACTCTAGAACAACATTAGGTACGGGCTGTCCTGCAGCTTGTAAAAGCCAATCATCAGAGTTCTCAGCCATCTAGATCAACAGTTTTGCTTTTGAAGCGTCGCCTAAACACAACACTACTTCTTTTAGTGTGAACAGTGAAACTGTAGCCCGATGCTCTGTATGTATCACTCGGCAGCCCCAGATTCTTTGAAAGACACCTAGCAAATATTGGAAGAAAACACTGCTGTCGAAATCTGCGCTAAACTCGGTGCTCTCAACAACTTTAGAAAACAAGTTGAATTTCAAATTAGTACCTGATATGAGCCACTCGATGCCATTTACTGTGACATTAGGAAAACTAATTGGACGCATCAATCACTTGTTCCTAAAGGAAAAGCCTATATGATTAAAATAGCTCGTTTTCAAAAATGAAAATAACAAACGGCTCTCTATACCAGCACTTCCAACCACGCAGTTATTAAAGTTTCAACAATGCGGTGCACAACAGCGAACTGAACAGCATTCCTCAAGAGATATACCTGACTTCAAGATTTTTTTAACCATTAATTTCACTGACCAACAAATGAAACACGCACTTCATCAAAACACTTCCACTTCACAGAATCCGTATGACTACAGTACCGTTTACTGCTCAAGTAATGCGTCGGATAAAGATAGCTGCATTTTTGGAATGTTTATTCGTTTATCCAAAAACAAGTCAGGCACACAATCGTATAAAAATATATGTAGAAAAAATGATTAATTCACAATTCAACCTTCCAAACTTATGTATCAATCAAATAACAAATCAAAAAAATATTCCGGACAAAGTCGAACATAAAAACCAGTGAACGTAAAGAGCCAACACGCATTTATCATACAGATATCAAGTCGATTCGGGCGCACCCATAGGGTTTTTGAGGACCAAAATAACCGAGTCACCCCGTAAAAACATCTTCGGAATAAAACGATCTTTAGCAACTGGTTTAGCTTTCTTTTTACCCTTGCCGGTCTTTGGCAGTTCTGTCCACATTTCCTTCACACTTTCCAATACCATATTGCAATGCCTAAAAAGTAAAAGAAACGTAACCAAACTCCCAGTAAAAATCGTGTTAAACATTTACGTATTTCGAAATAGCATCTTCGTTTTGAAATCCTGGAATAAAATACCTATCAAAAGCTTTAACTCTGCCGAGAAGTTTTTTGTTGTTGCGACAATTAATTAACACTTGCGCATTATTCTTCACGGACTGTGTCAGAACAGAAAGGGGACCAACATTGAACTCTTCTTGCTCTTTCGCTAAAAGTTCTTCTTGGGTCATATCCGACCGGGGCTTCGCTAACCTGGAACACTCAACGATAACTTACATGCTCATAAACACCAATTTCCAATAATACAAGTAATACCAATAATTTTAAAACAATCAAAGGCACTTCAGATTACATTAAATTAAAGACATTTCACCTTCACAAGCAGTACATTTCTATTATGTAATTATTTAAATACTTACGTAGACATTTTAAACTATAGCAGATCAAACTCTCTAAGTGATAAAAACTGGAGTATTCAAGAGGTTTTTCCTGAAAAAAATATTAAATATAAATCACAACGTTGACTTAAGACTACTATATTGACAAAAAGAATGACCAGAACCACTCCGATGGTACCAATGAACGTAATTAGAAACAGAAAGACGAAACAACGAGCTGTCATAAATTCTGAAGAAAAAATACAATAAATACACAAGTGTCTTTTGAAAAACAGGCCCACTCTGGAGAATAAAGCCATGTAAAATCATTCCTCAACTATCTGGAAATATATCTGGAAATACTTTTACATTGGTAGACATGGTCATTTTGAACTCATTAACCCAATCTTGTTAAGCAACAAGAAACCATTTTATATGTCGGAAACATGTAAACGAACCACTGACAAAGACAATGAATTTGCTTAAAAGTAAATTAAAACCACTTCCACGACCACAGTAAATACATCAATCTCCAACTAAAGTCCTCTTCCATTTTGTCCAGATATATAGCACGCTTGTTTAAAAAACCAATCTCCGGCGCTGTTTTTGTGTATTAGTCAACAGTATTCCACTTTAAAATAATGATATGATTAAATGAATAAATAAATAATACAGATACATGTGTTCAAAAGAAATTACGGATATTCCAAAAAAGTTCCACAATTTTTTAAAAAATTACTTCTTCGAAGTATAGCAATATTACTGTGCTTAGCGACTTCTTTAGATCACTGCAACACAAACCGAGACGAATAAAAAGACGATCATTCAGTGTGACTACCTAGTATTCAGAAAGAAAAAAAGGAAATACTTAATAATTAAAAAATGGCATTTTTATAGCTAGTGAGTGCATCTGATACTTCTGTTAATGGTTACTGCCAAAATTTCTAGAATTTCTCATTAAATATTTCCCAAGTGGATGAGTGAATTTTGAATAAAAGAAAAAAAGTTACTTTATTTTAAAAAATTTAACACCTTAAGCGCGCGTAAACATTTACAAAAATCCCATGCAGTACAATTATGCCTCGTTCAAGAAATTCTTGAGCTCTGAGAATATTAGCAGTACAGTCTACCGCAGTTCCAGAGGTTAGCGAGGCTGTGACAGCAAGCAGTGAAACCAAAATGCAAAGATAACCACATCCACTAATTTGTGTCTGATTTTCCAGTAACTGTTCAGTTACTCCTCTCTCTTCTTCCTTAAATTCATGCATATCACAGGTGGTTCTGTGAGTTGAAGTGAAGGGCATAAAGCAAAAAATTGGCAGTGTCTGTAGATAAAATTGCAAAAAACGATCATCCAAATGAACTCTGCCAAAAAATTGAGTTTTTCACTGCTCCGCCAATTTTGTTTCCAAGCTTCGAGACCTCTTAAAAGTTCATAAATAAAAATTTAAATCTGCACCTATAATGAACAGTCATGATGAGGGTGATGACCTTAACCACTAACGCGGAATCAACAAAACAGTAAACGACATTTGCATTAATTGATATTACACTATATGAATGTCACCAAAAATAGAGAATAACACCGGAAATCAGCAAAGAAATGAAATGGCGCGAAAAAAAACCAGGCAAATAAGTTTCAACCGCAAAAAATATATTTTTAAAAACTTTTGCCAAAATTCAATCAACAATTTGTTGACTCTCAAAGATCCTGAGACTTTCCTGTAAGAATGCTGCTTATGTACCAAACTTCATAACTAGCTCAAACCACAGTGAAGAATGCATTTAAAATACCATACATAAACCGAGAACCCTACTTTCTCGGCTTCATTCCCGTCAGGGCAGGCGAAGTGTAAATATTGAAGCTCGGCTAAAATGAAAAGTGCACCGCGTACCCTCATCCTTAAAATTGCTAATTTACTGCGGTTAAGGCCGCCCTAAGATATTTTTTGGCTCTTCTCCAAAACCCCCCTCGATTCCTGGCAGAATCCCCGCCACAAGACGTTTGAAAGTAATTTGTCGAAATTCCAATCCATGCGAAACTATCTTTAAATCGCCGTGTGTTTTCTAGAAGATTTTATTTCCTTCAGTTTTGGATTCTTTCTGGGGGGTTTAAACAGTCATTTTGCTCTGGTAAACGGTGTTTCACGGGTGTACAAAGTTCTTCAATATTTTAAATTTGCTTTTGATTTGATGATAGCGTAGATATATAGATAACTATTGCCCAGAAAATGGTAATTCCTGAAAGTTAAAGAGGCCTCCAATATCTTCAGAATCAGCAAAGCATTAAATGAAGAAAATGTTTTTTAGCGCATTAATCAAATGTAAATTTGAAGGAGAAATTGGAGAAAAATGAGTTGTGGATATGAGCGTGCCAGGTTTGAAGACGTTGGTAAAAGTGTTAGCTATAACAACGTAGCACAAACAACATTTTTCATTCACTGTACTGTACGGATTTTTGACTTGTCATTTTTGAAGGACAATTCAACAGCGACAACGGATAGCTCTTCTTAAAGAATTCAAAGCTGGTTTTGTGTGCAGTTCAGAAAGATTTCCTTTGAATATGTGAGGCACCATACTGATTGTCGTCTTCGATTCTACTGCATTACGAAGTGTGAAAGTCGCCGGATACCCCCATTTCTTTCTCCAGTGTTATGTGATTTTTCAACCTCTTAATGAAGCAGTCGCACACGGCTTCTAATAGCTTTGGTATTATTTGTAGAAATTTTGGAGATGATAGTTACCATTCAAATTCTCCAGTGACCTATTGTCTCTTTAAGAATCAGTTCAAAATTTGAACAGCGATCAGCTGCAGATTGCAACTATAAACCTGCTTTGCTGTGTCGTCGATGAATTTCTGTCGCTTATCATTCTCCTAAGTGTTTCTTCATTGAATTGAAAAAGGCGTAAAAATCTTTATCTAGAAGGTTTATTTGCCTTTTTATTATTGTATTTTACAGAGTAATTACAAACTCGTGATAGCGCAGAATTTGTTTGGGAAGCAATAGGAAATAATGTTAGCACGATGCTTAAAACTTCCATCACATATACGGTTTTGTGAAAATCTTGTTCGGTCTAATGTGCTTTCTCTAAAGCGGTGAGTAGAATCAATTTTTTTTTTTCATTTTTAACGTGTGGGTGATACATAAACGCCTTTGATGAACACCATTTTCAATCTTTATGGTTATGAAATTATAGATACGGCAGAAGAGATATTTACTTTTTTGCCGCTACCTGATAAATTGTTTTCATAGCTTTATCAGCTGCAAACTTTTGCTGTTACCAATGTCTCAGCATTAAACAGATTTCTAGAAGTTGCTATGGCGTTGTTTGCAGTTTTTCATAAAATTGATACCTAAGGGAGCAGAGCGAGTTTATCATTGGGTATAAGGAAGCTGTTTAAAGGCAACTTTGGCTTAACTGACCGGAATTTGCTAAAAAGTGGTCTTATTACGATGTGGTTAAGATGTGGAATTGAACTATTGAACTGTGCTTTTTTGGGCTTGTCCACTTTCTCTTAAAGGAGGGGAGTACTTTATGCGAAGTATGGGAACTGTGGAACCTTTTCTCCATTTTTTTTAAGTTCAGAAGATTTTCTTAGTATGGCTAAAATTTAGGGCGTACTCAGCTACCGTTGACTTTGAAAGTGCACAGAAGGAAGAAGCAGAGCATAAGGATAAGTTGGGTTTTGAGTCTAAACTGAAACTATATGCGCTTTACAATCAGGTAAGTTTTCAATGATTATGTAACCAAATTTCACTCTTTAATGAAAAATTGGTGCCATTTTAAACACAAAAATCTTCATTTTTCAGGCTCTCTTTGGTGATGTAGTTGGCAATCGCCCATCCGTTTACGAGTTCCAAGAACGTGCAAGATATGATGCTTGGAAAGCACTATCAGGTGTTTCCAAAGTAAGTTTTTTATGTAAAGAAAAGTAGATTTTGGCTTATCGAGGGCTTTGGTTATTTGTTAACTTTACTCTGAAACTTAGTGGAAGAACTTACCGATGCAGAAACTTTATGAATTTTTTTCGAGGAAGAGGCAGAAAAAATGTACGTCGAATTTGTTTCCTCAGTAGTGGGTGAATTAAAGAATCAAGATTTTCCACCTGGCTTATCTTCGGAACCTAAAAATGTTCCGGGACTGAAATTAATAACGAAAAATCATGGTTTAAATATTATTTTGGACCGACCAGACAAGTACAACGCCTTGACGTTAGAGGTATTTTATAAAGCATAATAGTGACGTATAATAGCTTTTTGCGGTTGTAATAGACCTCTTACTGGAAACTGGCTTGAAGCTGGATAATTAAGATGTACAGAGGAGTAATTGAGGCCTTGAAATACGCCAACAGTTGTAAAGAAGTTAAGGCAGTAACATTAACAGGTAAACAATGTTTTTTTTCCTCCTTGATTTATCGGCAGTTAAACGAGTCTCTGCGAGTGACTTGTATAATTTCCCTTCTTCGACCTTTGTTTCATTAGTTGAATTTTAGTGACTGTTTTGGAAGATATTGGTTGCATATCTCTTGAGGCTCAAAGATTTTTTATTTAGGTTCGGGGGATTATTTTTGTAGTGGTAATGATCTGAGTAACCTCATGCGCTTTTTTGGTTCTGATAATTTTGATCGCTTTGCCAGCGAAACTGCAACAATGTTTGAAAATTACGTCAGAGCCTTTATTGAACTAAACAAACCCCTACTTGTTTTTGTCAATGGACCTGCCGTCGGAATCGCTGTAACGACACTTGCTTTGGCTGATTATGTCCTTGCCTCTGACAGAGTTGGTTTTATTCTGAAATATTTGGTTGTGCCGTTCATTTTTTGTTCAGCTAGCTACCCGCATCGGAGTCTTTAGTGATACAATATGAGATAAAGAGTTGCTTTTTCTTCTTTTAAATGAGGTTCTTCAGGCTACCTTTCATACTCCATTCACCGCTCTTGGGATATCACCAGAAGGTTGTTCCACTTACACTTTCCCTCTGCTTATGGGGTCTTTAAAGGTTAAATTGATCTTTGCTTTTTTATTCGAAAGTTCTGACAGTCCGTAATAGGCAAACTTTTATAAAATTTATAGTATTTTCTTGAAATTACGAGAAAAGGTTTTGAACAGACTAGCAACTCTTAGGTTCGGAAACAGGAAGCATCACTTCTTTAAATTTGATTGTGCTTTAGGGGAAAGAAACGCTCTACATTCCATGGTTTCTTTTGATTCCTATTTTACTTGTTTAGAGCGCAGAGATGCTGATATTTGGTCAGAAAATATCGGCACATGAAGCTTTGGAAAGGAATTTGGTGAACAGAGTCGTATCTGCAGACTCATCTGCAGCAGAATTTCAGGATATAGTCGACTACGTCTTACGGTTACCTTCTGATCCACTGAGGTTGAATAAGAGTCTTCTAAGAAGTGTCCATAAACAAGCTTTACTGCTGTTTAATGAAAATGAAGTGAACTTGTTGAAGCAAAGATGGATGAGCAAGGAATGCACAGATGCAATAAATAACTTTCTTCAAAAAAGCGAAACTAAACTTTAGAAAAAGTTAGAAGATAGATGCACTTATTACATAACGAGAAAATACTGTTTTTATAACACAGTCACAGTGCTTTTTTCTTTGTTTAGTCATCGGTGAAATCTTTTTTTTTTTTATTTTGTTTAGCTGGTTAGTATTTATTTTTTGAAGTTTTTGTCACGGAATCATTCATTCTTTCCATTGTTACTATTGATTTCTACCTCATGCGTTGTATATGTACAGTAGGGTAAATTTATGTCGTAAATAAAGTGGTTTGTCTATCTGGGCAGAAAAAGTTGCCATATTCAAACAAATGTCTGAAAAACAAATGGAAGTTGGGGTTTCGAGGCGGCGGGGACGAAATGATGCGTAGGGTTCAAGTATGGAGTAAATTAATTTATTTCGCAAGGAACACGTATGCAGCAAAATATTCGTGACGTATTAAGGCGTAAAGCAGAAAGAATTGAGGACAGTATTTTAAATGGAAAATTTTGAAGGATAGTGATTCCTTAGGCTTTTCATTAGAAGAAGAGTCAGTGAGATCACCAGAATTTGTAAAAAAGCTCAAGAACATAGCAACTAGAATTCGGCAGACTTTGCGCTCAATAAATATCGTGCCGTTGCGAGCATAAATCAAACTGCTTTTCAACTCTCTTTGTAGATAATTGACTCTATTTGCTCCTGATGACTCAGGCGAAGATGGAGCAGCCTGTAAGTTCGTGTAGGAAAGAGGAGTGCTCGAAAATGGTAACTGTGTGGTCAGGGCCTTCCCCTTAGAGCGTGCATTGATGGCCTAAAAAAGTAATTTCATTATCTGCAGGGAGGAATAAGGTCAAAATTTTCTGCAAAAATTTTTTGGATTTTTGACAGGCAATTCAGAACTTGTACGTAGTATTTTAGATAATAGATCTTTGGTAATTTTTAAAGCTGTGATGGAAGAATGAAAATATTGACGGGAAAAAGGAACTTCTAGAACTCCTGAAGCCTTGTTCAGCGCGTTAAATTTCTCTATTATTTGCATGAAAATGATCGGACGGTCTTAACGCTGTGCATTTTGATACTGCAGACGGTGTAATGTGTAACAGAATATGATGGGAAAAAAAATCAAATAATCGTCACCTGCATAAGCAAGTTTTTTTCCATTAATATAAACATTGGAGCCGATTAAGCAAACCATCATTTGTCTTACTTTGATGAGTTTGAGACTTTATCTGATGACATTAAAGCTTGTGTTAGTTTCTGAGACTCAACATTAGATTGGATAGTTATTCGATGAGAAGCAACTAAGTATCGTGGGAATCAGTGCTGGCAGTCACTTAATTCTCTATATCCGCTTCACGTACCCATAGAATTTTTAGCATTAAATTGGATTTTAAGTGTTTCAAGACTGCGTCGGTGCTGTACATTTAGAGAGGATGAATACTCTATCAGCATAACTTTAATAAACAAAATCCTTCCTCCTCCCCACTAACTGCAATTACTCCAAAACCTTCAACGCCGTTTTACACTCATTTTGATCCCTTTTTGGTAAATAACTATTATTTCAGAATTTTTTATTCTAAAGCAGAAAGTTTTATAAAAATTCTATACAACAAAATCTGTAATATTTTATGCTGGAACTGATAATGAATGAGTCGCCAGGTTCAATAAATTTTTAAACAGATTCTTGATACAAAATTAGATAATCCTCGTGGAGAACTGTAAATGTTTCAACAGCTCTTTCAACAATAAATTGATCTCATTTGCTGCTAATAGTCCAGCTCCTTTCGAAACCTCAAGATATCTAACAACTTTTGAAGAAAAAACGGGGTTAAACTGAAGCGGAGTGAGGCAGTTGTAACTCGGTATTTGTTGCCGATGATGAGTTGCTAAGTAACAGCAATAGCTGAAGCAGGAAATAAAAACAATTTCTATTCTAATTTTACTTGATAAAAACAATCTAAAAATTCCTTCTTCCGTGGATATATCTAAGTATCAATAATGAAGAACATTTTGGACTTTTTTCGCTCACTTCTAATTTAACTATTATAATCAGTAAGCATCTGTTGTTGTATTCCAGGAATTAACTAAAACGAATCTCTCCTCAAATTGTCACGAATTTAAAGTGCAAATGAAGCCTGCAGGCGCTTTAAGCTTATCAATATACAATTTCAAATAGATTTCCTATAATAATCTCAGTGCTGTGGCGTGAAATTCAACAAAAACAAATTTCCAGTTAATAATTAGTGTGCTGAGGCAGATCATTAATTTAGAAAAAAAAAAAGAAAATTAGGATTTCCAGAGAAATTT